ATCGAACTTTTTTAAGTAATACATAATTCTATTAAGTAGTATGCTATTCTGTGTGTTTTTTCTTTGCAGAAGGGGAATTATCCTATTTTTGTCAATTTCTAATTGTTGATTTTTGCCCAGAGTTTCTTTCGCTCGTCGTGTTGTAATAATAATAATAATAATAGGCGAGTTAATTTAGGTGTGAATGTTGATGAGGTTGGGTGGGGGAGAGAGGGGGGTGCGAGTTTACTTTATCATGCTGTGAATTGCCTGTCTGCATTATTATATGCAGTACACAGACACACACACATACATAGACATACAGACAGACAGACGTGTGAGTGTGTGCATTACTGATTTCTACTCATTATTTATTGAAATGAATGAACATTTACTGATTGAATTAACTAATTATATTAGTAGTATAATTAGCACTATTCTTATAACGAATATATATGTACATATACATATACATATACATATACATATATATATATATATATATATCTTTATATATATATATATATATATATATATATATATATATATATATATATATATATATATATGCTGACAAAATGCAGAGTCTTCTGACTACCCTAAGCAACAATGCAAGTATGTTCGGGATGCGGTTCTCACCCTCGAAATGCAAAAAGTTGTTTCAAGATTGGGTTTCATCGGCACCTGAACTAGCGATAGGGACTGAAGTAGTTGAGCGTGTTGACCGCTTCACTTATCTTGGGAGTCTCAACAGTTTTGACTATCTGGTGTTTGAAGAAATCTTAGCACGGATACAGAAGGCTCGATTGGTTTGTGCCAAACTGCGTCACTTATGGTGTAGGCGAGATATCTGTTTGCTTACTAAAGGACGAGTGTACTGTGCTGTAGTTTGCTCCGTCTTATTATATGGCTGTGAAACATGGCCAGTGAGAGTAGAACATATTCGTCGATTATTGGTTTTCGATCATAGGTATCTTCGAAGCGTTGCTAGTATATCGTGGGACATTCGAGTGAGCAACGCTGTTATTAGGAAGCGGGTGCTAGGTAAGAATGGCAGATCAATAGATGAAGTGGTGAAACTTCATCAGTTGAGGAGGTTGGGACATGTTTTGCGTATTCCCAACCACCGACTGCCTCGTCGACCTTTGTTTTGTAGTGTAGGAATAGGTTGGAAGAAAGTTAGGGGCGGCCAAACCAAAACATGGCTTAAATCCATGAAGTCATTGACTAGTGGACTTAGCCATGTCAGTAATTGTCGACTACCTGGTTGGCGTCCGCGAGATCATAATAATCGATGGTTAGAGACCTTGAATGACATGGCTCAAAATCGTTCGCAATGGCGTCGGTGCATTTATTCTTTGTGTTCTCTCAAATCCTAACCTTCTGGATTCTTCAACACCTCTAGTTTTGACTTTCTAAACTTTTCTCATTGAATCATATTTCTTGAATAATATCTTCTCATCCTAACCTCTCCGATTGCTTCTAATACCTTTACTACCTCTACTACTATTGGATTTGAATTGACAATTACATCTCTGTGCTGATGTGGTATGGCCACATGAACTGATGTACTTACGTACGAGTTCTACGTTGCATCTGACTGACTGACTGATATATGCATATTATGTCTTTGTCGGAATAGGTTAGATCCCCAGAACTCACTTGGACAAGGACCTCATTTTGTAATTTTTCTTTTAGAAATTTTGAATTTCCATGTTTTCGCGCCAAAAGACGTACGCTCATTTTGACCTTCAGCTTACATTTCCCATTGAGCAAATCATTCTCTCTCTCACTACCAAGGGCGTTTTTATCATTGTATAAATAAGCTTGAGTTGTATGCTTGTTGACCTTGTACTTTCTGGGTGACTGTGGAATATATTTCTCTACGTCTCATCAAAACTTCTTCCTCTAGTTAGTGGGGCCTGGCACGATTGGATTAGAGTAGCCTATCGTGTCACTGAAATCACTGGTCTTCGTTCCGTTTACCGAATCTGGTCCAAGTTACCCGAATCATTAAAAATCTAGAAGTATTGGGAGGCTGCTTCATCTTAGTACAAGACTCTTCAGAAATGCTTATCCTCAACTACAAACAAGAATTGAATCCAGGACCTTCAGGTCTGTTGGTAAAAGTTTAAATTGAATTCGATCTCAGTTGGCGTTATGGACTGTGCACTGTTAAAGAGTCCCATACCAAGATGAAATAGCCTTCCTGTAACTCTAGGGTTTAGTGGTTGCCTGACTTTGATTGGTTCATAGTCTTAATAACATTCAACGGTCTTAACTAACCCTCATATTGATAAAATATCATTTGCCCATTGGTTACTAATTCCGAAAAGAGATTTTCTGAATTTTAATGAGACGCTGTGAACAGTGGAGTTCAGCCATGTTGCATGTGTGTTGTGACAGTATTCACCAACAATATTAGCAAACACTTGTTTCAGATGTTAAAACCTAAACATGTAAAATACCCTATCTCGGCTCACTAATCTAAAAAATGTATCTTTCTCCTTTAAAAAATTGAAGGTCCTAGAGATTGAGTTCTCGATAATGTTGAACAGAAGCTGATTGCTAACAATTCCAATACTATAACTACGTGACTATTAACTGAAAACATCAAAATCCTGAAAAACAACCTAGTGATTTTCAATTCAATGATTAATAATTCTTAAATTTCATTCGTACAGGTTAAGGCTAAATGAGTCCTTGTAAATAGTTAATTTAAACGATAATAATGACATATATGTATATATATATACTACTTAAATCATGTATCAATCATTGTTAAACCACTATTAGAAACCTGGAAGCACTGAAAGACGACCGTTTCGTCCTAGTGCGGAACTCATCAGCTGTGCGAATTTTACCACTCCCCCAATTCAAAGGACCTCCGGTCTTGCGCTCAAACGCTTAACCTCTCTCTGGACTATCGCTGATGAGCCCCATATCGGCAAGAAACGGCCGTCCAGTGCTTCCAGGTTTCTAATGGTGGTATAACATTGATCGATTCATGGTTTCAAAAATGTGTAACTTAACATTCTTCACAACCCCCGTAATGCAGATTACCTGTGCTCACTAATGACTAGCTTCGTGAGGAATCTTCTCGGAGTTCGAGTGGCAAGACGTGACCAGTGAAGTTCAACCTGTCCGGGTGTAGGCAGTGTCTACCGAACACTGTGTATGAGGTTGCACAACTCCGTGAATTTGATCAAGTTAGACATTAACACCGTTAGTTGCCGGCTCATTGGTCTAACGGTTAGGGCGTTCGTGCACGATGCCGCAGGTCCTGGGTTCGAATCCTGCGAGGCGCAGGAGTCGTGGATGTGCACTGCCACTGAGGATTCCCATACCAGGACGAAACGGCTGTCCAATGTTTCCGAGTTCCTAATGGTAGTTTAACATTGATCGATTCATGGTTTCAAAAATGTGTAACATCACAATCTTCACAACCCCGTAATGCATATACATATATATAACAGAATACCAAAGTTATACCAATGATAACATATTTTAATGAATCTTGTCGTTTTATTTTATTTTAAGGAAAAAAAAAATTCAAAATTTATTTATTGTTTAAATATTCTATGCTTATTCAAGTGAATCCTCATGAATCTTAACATTACAACAATATAGTACTGATTACTAACAATACTACTACTAGCATCACTTACACATATATATATGACGCATACCCATCTTTGTCTTATCAATAAACCAAACATTAATAACACTGATTTCTTATTACTCTTTACCGCCGCACCGCCCCCCACCAAAAAAACATTAAAGACGACAACACTGGATGAGTTGCACAAGTTTCCCAGTACTAATTTCACATGTGTGTTCAATGAAGAATCTAGATGAGTGAGTATGGATTGACTGCATCAATAATTCAAAACAGTGTATGTACTTCATCATCAAGATGATACTATCATGATGTCTCAATAAACCAATGCTGATTAATAATAATACTAACATAATTCTTGCATAAACTCACGTACATTCTTTTGGGTTAGGCTTAGTTAATTTCCCAAATGGCTCTAAGAGAGAGAAGAACATGTTTATTGCCTTCTACTAATAAATTTCTATCAGTTTTTACAAGAGAAAACTTCTTCCCAGTCATTCCCTATGAAAGAAACTCTTGAAATTCATTATTGTTCAATATATATTCATTCCTCGTCTGTCTACCTACCCACCTACCTCCACCCACACACACACACACACCACCATCATCATCATCACCCTAATTTAAATTTTAAATATACAGGAAAATTTTAAAATATTGGTATGCCCTAGTTTATGCATAATACATGAGGCAGAGATTTTTATTTTTCCTGAAGAAAATAGGCAAGTAGTAGTAGCAGTAGTAGTATCTGTATGTCAATGATTTTTTTCTCCCTGTCTACAAACAGAATTACCCTTGTTTTACAGTTAAAAAAATATGTGAAGAATATGAAATAGAACTAGTAGTTTCTCTTCCACATGGTAAGTGAGTAGTCATGCGTTACACATATATACATTATGCATGTATTTATAGGGTATACACAAGGTAAGAAAGACATAACTTGGTGTGCATTAAATTAAGGCTAGATAAGGAGGCCATTTGTATGTCTGTGTGTGTAAAAATTTCCCTTCCAAGTGTGTGTGCGTGTGTTTAGTAGTGTGAGTAGTAGTAGTAGTAGTAGTAGTAGTAGTAGTAGTAGTAGTAGTAGTAGTAGTAGTAGTAGTAGTAGTAGTGTGAGTAGTAGTAGTAGTGTAGTGAAGGAGAACACAGGTGGGGCAACCGGATTGTATTTAACGAAAATTATAGAGTTACTCAGTAAAATTGGAAAACCATATCGTAAATGGTTAATTTGCAAAATATCAGTTCATCATATCGAACTGGACTGTTCCTGTTGCAAAACATCAATCCATTGTCACTATTCATGCGTTTCATACAAATTCCATTGTGTTTTTTCTAAATCTTCCTTTCTTGATCTTCCCCTATCTTTTGCTGCCAGACATTACGTTTAAACTCACGTCATATACTAATTATAAGTAGCTCGCACCACAGTAGTAGTAGTAGTAGTAGTAGTAGTAGTAGTAGTAGTAGTAGTAGTAGTAGTAGTAGTAGTAGTAGTAGTAGTAGTAGTAGTAGTAGTAGTAGTAGTAGTAGTAGTAGTAGTGGTAGTAGTAGTAGTAGTAGTAGTAGTAGTAGTAGTAGTAGTAGTAATAGAAGTAAGAGTTATCTTTTTTGTGTTTGTCTCAATAATACATTTGTCAGTCGATGGAATTCATTCGATCGGCGTAAAATGTTCACACAAAAAAGCATCATAATGCTCTAACAGACAGGTAGTATATGTCTAGTTAAATATGAACACTATAATATTTATAAATGTATGTTTTTCCAACGATATCTTTGGAAAAAAATTCGATCTTTTTCTAAACAAACAATCTGAAAACTCAGTCATTCTGGAGCCTTTCTAGGGTTACTGCCAGTCCCAAGCCCGGATAAAGAAGGTTGGTCGTGCAAGGGGTCAGCTATCCCATCTCGCTGATGAAAACGCTAACCAGAAGAATAACTCACTGGTCAGCGGCTTATACACCATTAGGGTTAACAGGCGTAAATAAGTACAATAATTTACAGGTGGCGATTATTTGTACATTTTGAGGAAGAAGTATTTGTATTTCAAATAATTTACAAGTTCACTAGATTTCTTGTGATTTAGTTGGATGTAATTAGGCGAAAGACTCTGGAACTTAAATGTCTGTGGTGCGAGCTACTTATAAGTAGTATATGACGTCAGTGTCAACGTAATGTCTGGCAGCAGAAGATGGGGGAAGATCAAGAAAGGAAGAGTTAGAACACAATGGAATTTGTATGAAACGCATGAATAGTGACAATGGATTGATGTTTTGAAACAGGAACAGTCACGTTCGATATGATGAACTGATATTTTGCAAATGAATGATTTACGATATGGTGTGTTCCGATTTTACTGAGTAACTCTATAATTTTCGTTAAATACAATTCGTTTGCCCTCACCTGTGTTCTCCTTCACTACAGTCACATTAGTCGTCGTAGTTCTAGTATTAAACAACTTTTTCATTATAAAGAGTTATGAAGATTAGTGCTCATGATTAAAATCATGAATCAATCATTGTTAGACCATCACTATTAGAAACCTAGAAGCACTAAATGGCCATTTCGTCTTGGTATAGGACTCATCAGCTGTGCTCATCCATGATTTTAATAAGAAAGCTGTTTGTCTGTCTCATCAGGACTGTTAGAAATGTCGTTAGTGATAGGTATGAATTGATAAAAAGTACTCAGCTTTAAGACTTGCTAACGGCTTCTCATCAACCATTTAAAATCTAGACACTGTAACATGAATTATTAGGTCATTTGAACCAGTAATAGTGATCATATTGTACTGATCTACTCGACAGAATTAAATCAGTACTAATGGCAACACAATCATCGTATTCTTCATTACTCATGATTAAGTTTTAAAAAAAGTGGTAGACATATTTTAATTACATAATTACAGAATAAATAGTAGTCCGATGGTTAGGCGTTCGCCTACAATACCAAAGGTCCTGGGTTCGAATCCTGCGGGGTGCAGGAGTCATGGATGCGCACTGCTGAGGAGTTCCATACCAGGACGAAACGGCCGTCCAGTGCTTCCAGGTTTCTAATGGTGGTCTAACATTGATCGATTCATGGTTTCACAAAGAATAAATAGTCCTATAAACTGATATGTTAGAAAACATTCTAGGTCTCCAATGAAGAAATCTATACCATTGGACTTCTGTAGTCAATACTGTCTAACTTTAGGACCATGACAGTCGGAAATCATATCCACAGCTTAGTCATAGGTACGATTCTTATAGAAGTAACAGACATCTACTCAGTGATATTCTCCTAATTTTCTAACTAAAATCAATTTCTATCTGAGATTTGTGCTGATGATGTTGTTCAACGGAACAATGAAATCTCCACAACCAAAACAAAACCAGCTCAGAGAACAAAACAGCGCCACAACACTCATATTATTGATAATAATAATAATAATAATAATAATAATAATACCAGCGAAAACTTACCACCATCAATTGAATCAGTTCGACGAATACGACGTCCATGCTTTGAATTATTATGCACAAACATATTATCCGATATACATAGTAATTTACGTTCAATTGTATGAGTTGATGAGATTGCAACCTTTAATGAATAGAAGAGAATACAATAAAAATCCAAGGTCACAACAGATACACCTCAATGATATAATTCTTTCTCATTATTTTTTTACTGTAAAAATAGTAAACAATTTACTTTGAATGGAAAAAGAAAACATTTTGACATCAAATAAATTTGGATGATCATGAGTTGCATGAATTCCTTAGATTGATCAAAAGTTATACATTACCACGGCTGGATGCCTGACCAGCTCAGTGGTCGAGGAGTTAAGCACTCGCTCGCAAGACAGAAGGTCCTGGGTTCGAATCCTGGCAATAGCAGGAATCGTGGATGCGCATCGACACTGATGAGTCCCACATTAGGACTAAACAACTGTCTAGTACTTCCAGGATTCTAATGGTGATTGTCTAATAATGATTGATTCATGATTTAAATCTGTAAAAACACTGATCTCCATAACTCTAATTGAAAGAATCGTACAATGTGCTCACTAGTGACTAGCTTTGTAAGGAAATTTTCGGAGTTCTGGTAAGAAAACGTAACCAGGGTATTTCACCCCTGTCAGGTGTCGATCAAAGTTGGTCATTAACACCGTTAGATTGTGGCCCAGTGATCCAGTAGTTAGGAGTTCACTCGCAAGACCGAAGGTTCTGGCTCCAAATCCTTCGAGTAGCAACAGTTTAGGATGCACACTACTGATGAGCCCCATACCAGGAGGAAACGACCGTCCAGTACTTCCAGGATTCTAATGGTTTTCTAACAATTATTCATGCATGATTTCAGTGTGTCAAAACAACTATCTTCGTAATCCTACCATGAAAAAAACGATCATTCTTTCCTACATCTTAAATATTTTTTTAACAGACTAGTTAATCGAATAATGCGTTATATGTTCACAATGAAATTCAGGCATCAACAAAGGTAAATACAGAAAAAAAATACGTCGTAGAAACAAATCTGTTTGGAAATTCACGCATAGACGCATAGAGTATAATCACTACTGCATCATTTTTGTCAGTTTCTGTTTTAAGAATTTCACAGAGTACAACAGTGTTATATAATGCTTTCAAAATCATCAATCAATCATTGTTAGATCACCATTAGAAACCTAGAAGCATTGGACGGCCAGTTCGTCCTGGTCTGGGACTCATTAGCAGTGCGCATCCACGACTCCTGCTCCTCGCAGGATTCGAACCCCGGGCCTTTGGCATTGTAGGCAAACGCCTTACAATCGGACCACTGGTCCGGCATCCAACGGTGTTAATGTCTAACTCTGATTGATCTAAGGATTTTGCGCGACCTCACCCATTTGTCTTTGGTAGTTACTGCCTACACCCGACAGTGTTGAACTTCATTGGTCACGTCTTCTCATCTAGGATGTTATATAAGACAATAATTTTCGATTAAAATAAAACCAGTAGATTTTCTATTCAGACTTCCACAGGACTAATTTTTAGACAAACCAACCAATTAGATCTAAGCGATAATGAATCTTGAATTTGTTTTGACGGAAATTCATTCATTCACCTACATGCCTAATTAACAATTCGATATTATCACTGATATTGATTCGTGATTAAAAAAAATCCTTCACATATCCAAATATAACTTCATGTTGACCATAGTAAATGGTTGAAGTTCCTCAAGGTCGCTTCAAAATAACTTAAAGGTTATTCATACCTTAGTTAAACATATGACATCGAATACAAGATTTTTACACACTGAAATCATCAACAAGTTATTGTTAGATCATTATTAGAAACCTGGAAGTACTGGACGACCGTTTCGCCGTGGTATGGGACTCATCAATTGTAGTGCACATTCACGACTTCGGCTACTGGCGGAATTCGAACTCAGTACCATCGGTCTTGTGCGCGAACGCCTAACCTCTGGAATATCACTGATAAGTCTCACACTCACACCAGGAAGAAACGGCCATCCAGTGCTCCAAGGTTTCTTATGGTTTTCTCACAATGATTCATTCTTGATTCCAGTGTGTAAAAACTCTAATCCCCATAACTCTAATTGAAAGAATAGAAGATCAATCAGTCAGTCAGTCAGATGCAACGTAGAAATTCGTACGTAAGTACATCAGTTCATGTTGCCGTACCGCATCAGCACACAGAGATGTAATTTTCAATTCAAATCCAATAGTAGTAGAGGTAGTAAAGGTATTAGAAGTAATCGGAGAGGTTAGGATTAAAAGATATTATTCAAGAAGTATGATTCAGTGAGAAAAGTTTTGGAAAGTCAAAACTAGAGGTGTTGAAGAATCCAGAAGATTAAGATTTGAGAAAACACAAAGAATAAATGCACCGGCGCCATTGCGAACGATTTTCAGCCATGTCATTCAAGGTCAAACACTGTGTTTCCTATCAGTACACATCCACAACTATACCTGCAATTGAACTAAAGACACTTTTTCCTTGTGTTAAGTGTTTTAAACTCCAAAAACAGTCAAATTACCGATTGACTACTGTACATTTCAAACTTTCTGTCTAATCCATGACTGATTGAAGAAAACAGAATCCCCCTTCATTTGATCATGCCAGCTTAAAATACATTTTATAGCACTCAAAATAACACTTTGTTTTAATTTATTCATACATAAATTTCATATGAATAAATAGAAATTACTGTATTTCAATTCGTTTTACTTTTAATGAAATTAATGGATACATATATATATGTATATAAATGCATGGTATACTTTCGATAGAAAAAAGCCAAACTAATTTTTAAAACAAAACCAAATGAGTAAATAATAAATATTTGTAAACATTTTTTATTTCTGTTTTTCTGATGATTCACACTGGGAATAAAATTTTATCTCTCTCTTATATGAGTGAGCTTCATTCATCCAACTCAGGGGTTCCATTTATATTTCAATATATCAATGACACTTGAACAGTGTATCAATTTGTATCCGACAGAAAAGAAAAATGTTTATTTTAATGTTTTTTAATTGAATGAACATTGAAATAATATTTTCGTTAGTTGTTGGCGTCGCAATTTATCGAGAGTGTGCCTGTCGCCGTATTCCAGCAGCGGGAACTAGTAAACGCTACACGTTGGATAGATGCCGTATCCATTCCAGACCAGCGGGCAAGAACAATGACCGAAGTGATAATCCGGCATATATAGTAGCGTGTCACGGAATACGGAAGTTGATATTAACTGACCAGGGTTCCTGTTTTGAAAGACTACGACGACAGCTTATTAAAAGGGGGGACGAGTGTGGTGTGAGCTACTTATAAGTAGTATATGACGTGAGTGTCAACGTAATGTCTGGCAGCAGAAGATGGGGGAAGATCAAGCAAGAAAGGAAGAGTTAGAAGACAATGGAATTTGTATGAAACACATGAATAGAGGTGACAATGGATTGATGTTTTGCAACAGGAACAGTCCAGTTCGATATGATGAACTGATATTTTGCAAATGAACAATTTACGATATGGTTTTCCAATTTTACTGAGTAACTCTGTAATTTTCGTTAAATACAATCCGGTTGCCCCACCTGTGTTCTCCTTCACTACAATTATTGAACAGTGAAATAATATTTTTTGGCGGGGTTTATAATGAGAAAAGCTTTATGTAGTTTATTTGAAAAATTAATCGGGAACTGCTATGTATTACGATCATTGTTTGTGCTAGTATGGAACTCTTCAAATAATGTTTACCTACAAGTCCAGTATGGAACAAACTCAATGTGGGCGTTTTAAGAAAAAAAGGATAGCATTGCTAAGTACTACTTGAACTAACAACGTTGAGCTGACTGCTGCGCAATGCCTCAAAATTTCAACTAAACTATCATTCATTGTAAGATGAAATTATACTCTGATGATATCAGAGTTAATTTTATATAACCTGAAAACTTGCATCCATTATCGTTGATTATTTCAAAAAAATGCAGATTTTTAAATAGTCATGGTCATCATACTACTCATATTCATACTGATTTAATATCAACTACACTTAAGCTCCTTGATAATATCAAATTAATGTTGTCTACACATTTTATGTTTTCACAAGCTCTATTGTAGTGAAGGAGAACAAAGGTGAGGGCAACCGAATTGTATTAAACGAAAATTACAGAGTTACTCAGTAAAATAGGAAAACCATATCGTAAACGGTTAATTTGCAAATCTTCAATCCATCATCAATCCATTGTCTGACATTTCACTTATTCATGCATTTCATACAAATTCCATTGTATTCCCACTCTTCTTCTTTTCTTGATCTTCCCCCATCTTCTACTGCCAGACATTACGTTTACACTCACGTCATATACTACTTATAAGTAGCGCGCACCACACTATCTCTCATTTCAATTTGTCATTCCTTCACCCCCACCTACGTCCAGTCTTGATCCTGATAGATTGACTATGGTGAACAATATAAACTATTGAATGTCAACTCAATCGTGAACAGACAATGCTCTAATTCTAAGGCCTCAATAACATCCTGAGTTTCATTTCTGACAGATTTCTGATTGGATGAACTGGTTTAATGTTTCATTATATGAAATGACGGTCCAAATTTAAAACTGATCAAAACTACAAATATCTTTGATTGAAAAACTGATTAGGCATACTCAGATCTCAAATGGTCAAAAAATGAAAATTCCAGTTTCAGGAAAAAATCTTTACCCAACATGAAACAAAGGGTAATAAGGGTGTTTGAATCCATTTGCATCAAACTGGGCACCATCTCTCTCTATCCTATCCCATATTATATGTATACCTTATGCTGTACTGATATATAGAGCTGTAGGTTTCCTATAAGACATTGTGGATGGCTTGGCATTGCTTTGGCAAGTACTGCTAACAGTCCGTATACAAAATTAATTAGCAGGGTCACCGATTTCATTAATACTCCTAATGGTTGTCTTAAAACATTCCCGAGGGCCATTGTCATTGTGGCGCTGTATGGCATAGTGAGTTTGACAGTCATATAAGCAGAATAGGTTAGATTAGCCTGTCCATACGGAGCATATTGATTGAGGCGATCATCGATTTGAAATAATCACTATACACATACTAATGTATATAAATGGTGTGAATGGTCCACCAGGGTGTCAGGTACCTGTGTGATTGGTTGCACCATGGGATTGAGCCTCACTGTTCACAATAAAATGCTAACACGTGGGCAGTCTGCTTAGTTCTCCTGAAAACCAGCGTTAAAATCACCCTCAACAATTGAGACTTAATTTGTATAATTATGAATAAACTGACTGATCTTGCCAGTAGTCACATGCTTGCCGTGTTTGTCTCAAAAACTGATTATTATTACTATTATTAGCATTTATTAGATTTTCATTGTTAATTTATTAAATGTTTCATTAAAAAAATTCAACAAAAATTGATCATTGAACAACTTACTTGAAATCGGCGCATATCACGTGGATTACCAGCATTTTTTAAACAATTCTGATTACATTTCATGAAGAATTTCAGAAAATGTCTACGGCGAAAAAAGAAAGAGGGAAAACCAGTTTTTACCGATATTTTCTACTTCAGAAATTATTGATTACACATAGAAAGGAAAAAATTGGAAAGGAAACTGGTGTTGAGAATAAATCGTAGACTAAAATGATCCATGTCATTACAAAAGCATTCGTTTTTATATTTCTGCTGTGTAAAAGACTGTTATAATCAATGACTTCATTGAGTGTTAATCATTATTCTTATGGGCAGTAATTGATTTGAGAATATCGACTATCCCATGTAGTTGAGTCATTGCTAATCGGTCAGTTATCATCATCGTAGAGCCTTACCTTAATGTACGTTGACCACAGTTGGTATACCGGGTGAGGCTTAACTGTGATGAACAAATTGATCTCAAGTGTCATTAAAAGTATGATGGTAGTTGTGACTTCTTTATGTGGTACTTTGATAGGGTTTTGTAGTAATGACACAAGATTGTAACCAAGATGTCCATGAAACAACTGCTTAAGATCGTTCACAGCAGACCTCGAGTTTTGAAAGTCTTACCGCCAATTTAAGGAAATCTACAGGTGTGTTGTCTTTATTATGTATGACTTACTCCCTCCCCGCCTTATATCAACCCCCTCCATTCATAGTGAGTAAAGCAAACTCTTTATAGATGCTAGAGTTGTCTAACGCAAATATCATCATACTGTATCACAACAGTCAGTAGTGCGACATTACTCTCACATGATACGTTTACTCAAATCAACTTGTCTGACTACGTACGACCTAAAAAGGAGAAACAAGTTTTTTCTTTTTTCAATGTAACTTGATAAAATCATCTCGTAATATAGGCAAAGTTGGGTGTTATCACATTATCAAAATGAACATCATGACTTGTCGCTAGTTTTTTTCCACCTTTTATTTACTTACAATTCAAAATCAATTTATCCCTTGAAATAACTAACAGCAGGGTGTCTCTTCCCCTCACCAATTACTACATGCCCAACAGTCAGTGTTTCTTTTATTCAATTCAAACAAATGTAATTAAGAAATGAAACTTGAATAAGGAAAATGTATACCATGTATTTGTGTGTGTGTGTGTGCATTGATAAACACATTTTTGTACATTTTGTACAACATTGTTTATGCTAACTAAAATTGAGTCTTTCAAAATGGGCATGCAGCATTTGAAAAAAAGATTTGGAATACCAGAAAAAGTTTATTCAACACAGAAAATTAAATAAACTTATCTAAACTAGACGCAGAATGTGTAGTGATAATTGATAATTGAACAGTTTTTTTATTATTGAACATTGATCAAAACGACAAATTACGCTTGTTTATTTAGATTATAGTCACGTGTGTGATATTACTACTCCTCCTTACTTCTATTATGATTATGATTATCATTATTACTGCGACTATTACTACTGTTTGTGACAGTAATTACGAGAAGAATCATATGAAAAGGTTATTATTCTATGAAATAAGTTATAAACACTGCATGTTGTTTATAAATTTGTATAGAATCTTTTTCAAATTGGTAAGTTTACTCGACAATTTCTCTTATGCTTGAAAAGAAATAAGAAAAGAATCGTGTATTTCTGTAATAAACAACCTACTGTCTGTATTAATCTTAACAAGATGAATAGAATAGTTTATTTGTGTATATAAATAACTATCTGTGCAAATGTTTTATAATACACTGATGTATGATGCTAGAATGGAAATTTGTGTTGATTTTAGTCGGTCAGTTTTATACTTGAGTTATGCTTTATTTTTGTAGGCAGCATTTGCACAACTGAAGAATTCCCTGGATCAAACAACAAGGAAGTCATAATTTTCAATGCGAACGTTAAAACTGATCTCTGTTGTATGTATGCAGCGCCAATTTGGCGAACTTCAAAAGACATCAACCAAAATATACGCAGTTGTTTGTAAACGACACAGAGGATTCACTGGGTAAACACCATCAGTAACAACCTACTGTGGGAGAGAATAAACAAGATTCCACGGGAGGAGGAAATCAGGAAGAAGCAGTGGAAGTGGATAGGAAACACATTGAGGGAAGCAGCCAACTGAGTCACAAGACAAGCCCTCACTTGGAACCGTCAAAGTTAAAGGTAAAGAGGAAGACCGAAAAGCACATTAGCCAGAGAAATTGAGAGAGGACTGGAAAGGGAGGCCCAGAATAGAGTAGGTTAGAGAATTCTGGTCAGTGGCCTATATTCCATTAAGCAAGTAAGTAAGTAAGTAAGTAAGTAAGTAAGTAAGTAAGTAAGTAAGTAAGTAAGTAAGTAAGTAAGTAAGTAAGTAAGTAAGTAAGTAAGTAAGTAAGTAAGTAAGTAAGTAGGTATTATTTTTGTGTGAAATATAATTACATTCTCAAGATCTGCACACATTTTCAATTCCAAATGATGTTTTCTGCTGGAAAAAAGTAAGTAGTATAGTCACTACTTTTCAGTAGTTAAACATTTTATACAGTAAAATAATTCAAGACCAGGTGAACTGTGGATGATGTGCGAATTCATAACATATATTTCTTCCAATTAAAGACTAATCAGCAGCTAGATATACCTATCAACTGCCAGGTTTGATATTCACACTAAGATTTTTGAATTCACCAGCTTCTATTTTAAAATCTATTGACTATATGATCTCATTAGACCATTAGATATATAATCAAATTATTGTTTAAAACAGATAAATTGTTTACATAATGGTTAGTAAGAATTACAAATTGGACACACAGAATCTCAATGGATAATGTGTTACTGGGTTCCTGGATTCCAATCTCAATATAAACATCAATACCAGGATAGAAATACATTTGATTTGACGAGTTCCAAACAAGATTAAAACATGAGTATTGGATTCTACCTCTAAATGTATATATATATATATATATATATATATATATATATATATATATATACCTGGCTTTTCTATCGTACACGCAACACCAAATGCAAGAGAAAACGACCAGTGTGTCAATCCGTCGTCGATAACCAAGGTGGATCCGATGCAGATGTGAGGGCGCGGATTGACAAAGCGAAGTGCTGCATTTCTACAGTTGAAAAATATCTGGAACTACAAACAACTTTCAACCAAAACCAAAATCAGGATTTTCAATACAAATGTCAAGACAGTTCTACTGTATGGGGAGGAAACTTGAAGAACTAACAAAACCATCATCCAGAAGATACAAGTGTTTATTAACAGCTGTCTACACAAAATACTTCGTATTCGTTGGCCAGACACCATCAGCAACAACGAACTGTGGGAGAAAACAAGTCAGATTCCAGTGGAGGAGGAAATCAGGAAGAAGTGGTGGAAGTGGATAGGACATACACTACGAAAAGCACCTAACTGCGTCACGAGACAAGCCCTCACATGGAAACCTCAAGGTAAAAGGAAAAGAGGGAGGCTAAGGAACACATTACGTCGAGAAATAGAGAAAGATATGAGAAGAATGAACAAAAATTGGACAGAACTGGAGAGTGAAGCCCAGGACAGATTTGGTTGGAGAAAACTGGTGGGTGGCCTATTCTCGATTGGGGGTAACAGGTGTAAGTAAGTAAGTAAGTAAGTATATATATATATATATATATATATATATATATATATTTAATAGATTGAATCAACTTTAAACAGTCTCCTCTATATATTAATATTCATTGATGTTTTCAAATGTGTTAAAACACTATTCTCCATAACTCTAATTGAAAATATATAATAATATGTGCTCACTAGTGATTCGCGTTGTGAGGAAATTCTCAGAGTTCTAGTGAGAGGCCATGAACAGTAGAGCTCAACTCTGTTCTGGTGTAGGCACTAGCTACTAAAGCAAATGGGTGAGGTTGCGCAAAATCCTTTGATCAATCAGAGTTAAACATTAACTCCGTTTGCTGCCAGCCCGCTCAGTGGTCCAGACCGAAGGTCCCGGGTTAGAATCCTGAGAGGTGCAGGAGTCTTGGTTGCGCACTGCTGATGAGTCCCATACCAGGAATACATGGTCGTCTAGTTGTTCCAGGTTTCTAATGATGATCTAACAATGATTGATTGATGATTTCAAATGTGTAAAAACACTAATCTCCATAACTCTAATTGAAAATCATTATTTGTTCATTACTGACTGATTTCTTGCGAAATAATTCTGTTAGTTGTTATCAATGATTCACGAACAGGATTCAACCATGTCGAATGTGAGGCAATCACCTACTCAGATGGAATTGGCGAATGGATTGAAGCCTTAAGCGTTAAACACTCACTGTACAACCTCATTGTTGCACTGTGTTCTACTCTCAGCAGAGTCACAAACTCGCATTGCTACAGTATCTCATAGAATAGACTGACATAGATAGCCATAGCTTATCTCTAACTACAATCAGTTCGACATGTTCGACACTGTTTGTTCACATAATATCGTATTTATCATTCAGTCAGTCAGATGCAACGTAGAACTTCGTACATAAGTACATCAGTTCATGTTGCCATACCACATCAGCACAGATATGTAATTATCAATTTTTAAATCCAATAGTAGAAGAGGTAGTAAAGGTATTAGAAGTAATCGGAGAGGTTAGGATTAGAAGATACTATTCAAGAAGTATGATTTAATGAGAAAAGTTTAGAAAGTCAAAACTAGAGTTGCCGAAGAACCCAGAAGATTAGCATTTGAGAGAACACAAAGAATAAATGCACCGGCGCCATTGCGAACGATTTTGAGCCATGTCATTCAGGGTATCTAACCATCGATTATTATGATCTCACGGACCCCAACCAGGTAGTCGATAACTACCGACATGGCTTAGTCCACTCGTCAATGACTTCATGGATTTCTGCCATGTTTTGATTTGGCCGCCCCTAACTTTCTTCCAACCTATTCCTACACTACAAAACAAAGCTCGACGAGGCAGTCGGTGGTTGGGCATACGCAACACATGTCCCATCCACCTCAACTGATGAAGTTTCATTACTTCATCCATTGATCTGCCATTCTTATCTAGCACCCGATTCTTAATAACAGCG